AGCGCCTGCCCGAGGGAGCGCCGGCCTGGGGGCAAGCGGCTCACCTGGGGGTGCAGGAGAGTCAGGCCCCGATCTCCGAAGCCTCCTTGCAGTGCCCTAACCACAGACGCAGCTGTCCTCCAGCTGCGCACACCACTGGGTTCCCTTCCAGGCTATTAGCACTTGCATGTTTGCGGGAACAGCCCACCCTTGAAATCCCCCAGGCGTTAATTAGCCCGCCACACTCAGCTCAGCCTCCTTTGAGCTACAGCAAGAAGAAAAAAAAAAGGTACCCTCCTTCCCTCTCCAGCTTCTCCATCACTGCAACCCAACCCAGCAGCCTGCACTTAGCAGGGAGGAGACTCAGCTGGAGCCAGCCTTTTATAGCTTGGCCCTAGGAGTGGGTGTTGCCCAGAGGATGAGGCCACCCCTTACTTCCTCCTATATAAATGAGAGTTTGGGAGGGTCCCCAGGCCTATACTACATGCACTGTAGACTATATATATTAAAAAAATCATGCACTTCATATTGGTCTTTCTGGGGGCTGTGGGGAGCAGGAGCTCTTTCCCATGATAATGGAGCTTTCTTGGGGGCCCCTGGCCCTATGGAGATGGCTGCTGGGAGTCTCTGGGCCTGGTAACACCTAGCAAAGCATAGGCCTGGCTGCATGTCAGGCAAAGAGAAGCAAGGAGCAGGCGGGTGCCTGAGCGCCTCTGCACCCTGCTAGCAGCTGTGCTCGCAGCTGGATTAGCTGATACTGGGCGTAGGGGAGTGGAGGTCTTTCATGCACCCCAGGGTGGATAGGGGCAGCTGCCTGCAGTGCTCCCCCTCACTTGTGTCCGGGGCGGCTCCTGGTAGCTGTTTTCTGCCTGACTTCTCTTGTTTGGGCGGGGGGGACTGGGCAGCCCCCGCTCAGTGCTGTCCCAGTGGCGGGAGCTCTGCCCGGTCGATGGTGTGCCGAAGCTGAAAGCACAGCAGTTTGGGAGGCAGGAGGAAGGGGTGGCCTGCCCGACCCTGCCCAGCTGGCGGGATGGGCCTGCAGGCTCAGCAAATGGGCTGGCAAATGTTTGATTTCCTTCTTGCTTCTGGGCAAGTTAATTATCAATTATCCCCCCCCCATCTCCTTATGGGAGCACTTTGCACACACATGCACATGTACACGCCCACTCTTTCTAGCCCGGCTTGCTGGAGCTCCCAGTCTCTGGGGGCTGAGATGCGGGGGGCACCTTGCACTGCTGTGAACCCCTTTGCTTCAGGCCAGGAGACTGAGTGCAGCAGCCTCCCAGCCTGGCCACGCACCGTGTGCATGAAGCCGCTGCCCCCCGCCTTCTCCGCGGGGGCAGGTTTGTTACCCCCCTGCCAGCCCGTGCATTTCCCCAAGCGCTGGCTCCTGCCTTGGTCAGGCCCACGCAAGGAGGAAGGGAAAAAAACCATCCATTTCCTCCCTGCCCGATTTGCCCGCTGCCTTTTGCTCAGACGAGCAAGGCAGGAGTGCCTGCATTTCCCCGGCGTTCTCCGGCAGGCTGGGTTCGGAGGCTCAGTAGCATAGGGAGAGGGTATGGGCACTGGTTGCGGGCTGAGCACGCGCAGAGGCTCCTGTCCCCATTCACGTCTGGGCTGGGTGGAAGCAATGAGGGGTCGCGCCAGGAGCTGTGGTGTCCGATCCCTTGCTGTACATCTCCGATTGCTGCATGGCTCCTCGTAGAAGGAGGGCCAGAGGGGAAACTGAGGCACGATGTGGGTGCAGGACTTATGCCAGGGTTAGCAATGGATCCCAGGGCCTGGCTTCTGTCAGCTCTCGGGGTCTCTTCAACCTGATCTCTTGAGAGTCCCTGGGACTTTTCCTGCATTGCCCCAAGGTCAAGGGGGAGACCCTCAGATGACAGCCAGCTTGTACGGGGCACCTGCAGCCCGTGAGCCCTCTGGGTGCAGGCTGTGGGGGGCCGTCAGCATTGCAAACCCCTTCTCCTTCGCTGGGGCTGTTCAGGGAAGGAGCCGTGCGGGTCTCGGTGCCTGGCCTCGTGGCACTGGCTCTCCCGTACCTCCCCATTGGGGAGCGCAGGGAGGGGAGCAGCCAGCCCCATTGGGAAACCCCAGGGCAGGGACGTGCCCAAGGGATGTGGAGAGATCAGGAGCAAAATGAGGGAGCTGGGCTGTCGAGGGAGCTGCGAAAACGCATCCAGGGACGCGACACGGGGAGTCAGCAACACGCGAGGGCAGAGTGGGCAGCAGGTTAGGTGTGAGGTTGCTTTCAAAGCCTGACGCCGGACTCGGGGCTGGGACATGGGCCTCAGACCACAGCAGTCAGGCTCCAGCCTCTGCCACCGACACCCCACGTGGCCTTGGCCATGTCACGCCACCTGGGCCAGACTGCCTTGGCTTCCCTTCGTATGAAGGGAGAGGGACCCCAGCTCCACCCCTGCTATTGCCAGGTGTCCGGTCATGTCCTCCCGCTCATAAACGCATCCAGCTGTAGCAGCCGCGCGTTCCTGGCCCTTCCTGCTCCTCTGGGAAGGCTGCTCCAGAGCCTCGAACAGCAGGAAACCACGTCATTCCCAGCTTGGATGCGTCTGCCGGGTCTTGCCCCCCCCCTTGATCTGGTGCCGGCGCTGTCTGTCCCCCTCCGCGGCCGCCCGGTTCCTAACACGGCACAAGCCCCTTCCGGGGAGAGACTCTGTCTCCCCGGCTCGCCCGGCACGGGGACCTTGCTGCCATCCGCGTCCCCACCCCCCTGGCGAAACAGCCGAACAATCAGCGTTTCAAGCTGCTTTAACACTTATTTGAGATGACCCCGAAAAGGCGGAAAACACCAGGCTTTTCTCCGCACAGGATGTCCCCCACGCAGCTTGGGGCCGGGGCTGTCAGAGCCGATCAGCCTCAGGGCGAATTAAAACCCACCTCACCTTGTCCGGCTCCGTCCGGCATGCGCGCTCCCAAGCCGTCAAGCTCCTGATGCCTCCCCGCTCCCCCCGCGCCAGCCTCTTCAGTCCCGTCTCCTCCCTTTCTCACTTTGCACCGTTTTAATTGCAAACTGTTCCCCTTCAATAGCCACTCGAACCGGCTCCAGCGCCCCTCCGGGGCACCCCCTGCATTCGCCTCTAATAAGCATGAAATCTGGCTTGGCAGACATTTTTTAGCCCCCGGAGCATGTATCCAGGGACGATCCGGCGGAGAGGCGCTGCCCGGGGTCGGGCAACTTTTGACACTGGCTAAGCGTTGATCAAAGCTGCGGTCTGTGGCAGGAGTCGCCTCAGTCGTGCAAGGGATGCTTCGAACTTTTTAAGCTCCTTAAAGGGAGCTGGGAGCAGCTGGAGGTCAAGCGGCAGTCGCAGGAAGGGGATGTTCGCTCTCCCGGACCTGCCTGGCTTTTGGTGGCCACCGACGCTAGCCCGAGTTGGGGGTTCCCTTCTCTGAGCTGGACTTGGCCCGTGGGGTGGTCGGTGCAGCCCTTCCCGGGGTCGCGGCTGTGATGTCCCCGCGGCTGGAAGGGGTCGAGGCAGAAGGTCACGCAGATGTAGCTGCGTGTCCCGGGGCCGCGGGATTGCCTGCATCGCGCCCCTCGGGCCCTTTATCCTGCCTAGGATGGGTGGCTCCGAACAAGGGGCAAGAGATCCCATCCCGGGATAGCCAGCTCTCTTCTGACCCCAGTGCTTGCACCAGGGCCTGGAGATGCCCAAAATAAGGGTGGGTGTTTGTCCCCCCACCGGTTGTCAAACCCACTCGGGCACCTTGAAGTGGGGTTGTCTCAGCCCCGTCCTGTGGCCGTGAGTCCCACTGGCCAGTGATGGCGTGGACAATAATGCACACCAAATCTTTCCCTTTCCGGGGGTTAAATCCTGGGCCCGGTCCTTTGGGCTAGGGCTCAAGCCACCTGCCCAGTGCCTTGAGTGACACGAGTTTGGACAGGTCTCAGCCTAATGCTCAGTGCTCGAGTCTGCCTGAGAGCGCTGCGCTTGGCTCCTTCGCTCCAAGGCCCGGCTTGAACGCACGTGTCATTGGCTGCAGATGTCTGTGGCCTGCCAGGTTGAGGGCAGAGGCTGGGGGAAATCTCGGGGCATACAGGGGCATTCAGGAGCAGCACAGCATGGTTTTGCAGAGCCACCTTGAAGAAATCAACCAGCTCACAGGAGCTCGAGGGGTGGAGGCGGCACCTCCTTTACATACAATAATCAGATTTCCAAAGAACAGCTCATATTTGCAAAGGACAGATACTGCCCCATGGATGATGGTGTTGGTTTGTCTGCTTCCCTCCCCTGCATAGCGCGTGAGCGCTTGGGAGTGTTGGTGCCAGGCCCAGCTGGGCGCAGGGATGCCCAAGGGACTTAGGATCATAGAGAATCACAGAGAAGCAGGGCTGGCAGGGAGCTCCGGAGCTCGCGTCTAGTCCTGAGGCAGGATCAGCCCTGTCCAAACCATCCCATACAAATCCATCACCTAAGCTCTTCATAAATCAACCGTGACACAGCACCAGGCATCGCACCCGGACCTGCCGCAGGGAAAGCAGGGGGGCCCGGCAGCCAGCGTAGATCCTAGGTAGAGGGCAGCCCCCCCAGTCTGTGGGGTAAAAGTCCTTCCTGACCCCAAATACAGCATTGGTCCCACCCTAAGTGGAGGGGCAAGACCCCTTAGGGCAAGACCTCTCCTGCTTGAAGTCCCAGCAGGAGCATTGGCACAGCCCAGCACCATCCCCAGCCTGGGCTGCAGCCAGCACCCTCTGCGGGGGGCTGAACCCCCCCCGACACGCAGCCGAAAGGGGAGGGCAGCCAGTTACCAGTCTGGCATCGAGCCTATGTGCGGGGGCTTCCCCTTGAGCTGTGATAGTTTCCAAGCTCACGAGCCAAGCCGTGGCCAGTTCCAGCGATCCCGAAGGGAGGGAAGACCCTGGCGCAGGGGGCGGTGGTGGCTTTGCATTTAGCACAGCACCGCCCTCACCGAGGCACGGTGGCACGCATGCCTGGGTTGTCCTGCTCCTTTGCTAACCCACTGCATTTCTCTCTCTTTCTCCCTTGTATCTCTTCCAGCTGCCACCCCCCCTAACCTGGTTGACAGGCCCTGCTTAAAGCTGAAGGTTTATGTTCGACCGACAAGTAAGTAGCCCACTTCCGAGCCGGCGACGGGCTCTGTGCGTGGGAGGGGAGGACACGCTGATGCGCGGCTTGGACCCTCAGGCTCCCCGATGCGGAGCCAGACACGGCGCCCTCCGAGCATCCCCTTGCACCGCGGGGGCAGAGGGCCCGTCCCCCCTGCCGTGAGCTTATCCACGATGCACAGCACGAGGTGGGGCCAGCGGGGATCTGCCAGTCCCGGGTCTTCGTCGCACAGAGCCCAGGGGCGGGGGATTTTCAGGAGAGATGCTTTGACAAAACTCCATGCTAGAGACGGGCGGACATCGAACCATCTCCAGACCCAGCCGCAGATCCCCGGTGTCATGCCCACGAGTCGCTTGCACGGGCAAAAGCCAGCCAGGATCCTTCCCGTGCTGGCTTTGAGGGTGCTCCGATGCTTCTCATGCCAGGTCTCCTGTGCGCGACGCCGTCCCACCCAGCCAAGGCCCCTGGGAGCCGGCGAGGCACCAACCTCCCTCCAGCCTCTTCACCCTTGCTGCAGCATTGGAAAGAGGAGCGAAAAGTCCTTGCCCCCACCCAGCAGCAACTCTGCACAGCCAACTACTTTGGCCACAGAAAGCAGCCAATTAATTATTTTCTTCTCCCATTAATGTGTAATTAGTGCATGGCAGCTGCTGTCCCAGGGGAAGGGAGCGAGGGGCTGCAAAATGTCACTGTTTAAACGGACGGCGTTGATGGCGGGGGTTGGTTTGTGTGGTTTTAAAATGAGAGTCCAGAGAACAAAATGATCCGCAAGGAAGTCCACGTTATTAGCAACTCTTTTGCTTGGTGGAAGGAAATCTCCATTGTTTTGGGGGTTTTGACCAGGCTTGGGATTGCGTGCCACTGAGGCCTCCGAAACGCTCGGAGCGCCACGTTCGCACCCGGGGCGCTGAACAACCCACCCTCGAGTCAGGTGGATTTGGGGTGTTTTGCCAGCCACGCAGGTTTGGGCACCCTCAAAATGAGCTGGCCTGTAGTAGGGGATGTCTCGGTATCTCCCACGTTGGGCACCTCTGCCACGTCCAGATGCCCACGGTTCAGACCAAGGCAGGGACCGCACTGTCCGTGCAGCAATGCCCCCAATGTGCATGGGGATGCGTTGTCATCCGAACAATCCTCCGTTAAAAGGGACTGGTGGGAAATCGGAGGAGAGGAAGACAAGGAGGCGAGAGCAATGAGAAGAGGAGAGTGAGGAGGGAGAGAAAATGAGTGGCACGGGGAGGCTGTGCTTTTCCTGGCTTCGGGGCTCTTGCCAGCCTTAATCCAGTAGTAAACTAGAGGGACCGGAGCTCAGGGGCTGCGTTAACAGCTTTAGTTATAATTTAACTTATTCCCTTGAATGCGCTTTGCTTTGCTACCTGATTAGGGCTTCTGCTGCTGGATTATTGGATTGTTATTAAGCAATTGCTCTTTGACCCCCAGAAGGTTGGTCCGACTCCAGCTCTGGCCAGATCTGCAGGCCTGGGACTTCCCCAGGCTTCTCAGGAGCTGGCAGCGGCCGTCGGATCCAGTGCATCTCGCACAATACCACCCTCGTGCTTGGCATACTGTCAGCCAGGGGCTTAGGCTGGGAGCATGAGGAAATGCTCCTAATCCCATTTAAAGGGCAGCCACCTGAGCCCCCTTCCTGCGAGGGCAGCTCTCGGCAGCCGGGAACGAGGGGCGAGCGCGGGAGTGTCCCGGGCTTCGACCCTCAGGACTTTGCTCCTGATTTCCAGTTATCCCAGCTTCTGTTTGCACCTAAAATACAACCCGAGGGACGCAGGCAGGGACAGGGAGGGACGGCACCATGGGCGTGATGCCGGCAGACGCACAAGCAGCGACCCGGGGTGTTACGTGAGACAGGCGGAGGAGGCGCCGGGGACACGCGGCCCGGCGCGCTGGAGACGGGTCTCTCCGGACAAGCACGTTCCTCCCTCCCCTCGTCCCCGGGTGCAGCGCGGAGCCACGTTGCAAGACCCGGCAAAGTCCCCGAGTCGCCTCTGGGCATCGTTCCAGTTGTTGTTTGTAGTCCGCGCCGCGGCAGCGGCTGAGCGCGCTCCTGTCCTCCCTCCGAGTCTTCTCGCGGCTGCCGGGGGGGGGGGACATTTTTCAAGCTCGCTGCTTTGCAATCTTGTGTTTGTGTGGCTGCACGGCGAGGGCCCCAGATCACTGGTTTGTGACAGTGCGCACGGTGACTCAATTACACCGCGTGGTAGGGAGACGGGGTGGTTTTGCTCTGCTCCGTGGGTTTTTCTCGAGGCACCGGACTGAGATGCCGAAGCCCGGCCGGCTCCCCCTGGCCGCCCCCGTCCCCGGGTGCGGGGGCAATGCTGGCTCCAACAAGCCGGCTCACCCAGCCGGCTTCTCACCTTGCATTGCTCACCCCAGTCACCGGTCTCAGCTGCTGCTATGTGCCATTAGCTGCCAGCCTCAGTTTCCCCCCCTTTCCTCCGGCAGTTCAGCCTGGCAGCTCCCAGCGCGCAGCTCAGGGTCGGCCCCGGGATGGGGTTTTCCTGCACGGACTCTGCTTTACTCACGTGCTCAAGCATTTGCAAGCGGTTGGCCGTCATGATCCAACCCTCTGGATTTCCAGTCTCTAGGAGCCTCATTTCTTCCCTTTCACTCGCACGAAGACCTGCTTTGCTCGAAGCAGCAGGTGCAGCCTGTCCTGTGTGGCCCTGGCTCCTTGCTCCGGCTGTGGAGTTGCCTTTCTGTCTGCAGCAAGGGAGGTTGAAGTTGGACATTAGGAAAAGCTGTCTCACTCGGAGGGTGGTGAAGGCTGGGACAGGTCGCCCAGAGAGGTGGTGGCGTCTCCATCCTTGGAGGTGTTTAAGGCCCGCCTAGACAAAACCTTGGCTGGGGTGATGTAGTCGGGGCTGGTCCTGCTTGGAGCAGGGACCTCCTGAGCTCCCTTCCACCCTCATTTTCTATAACTCGCTGACGCAGCTTGCAGGACCTGACCCCAGCCCCTGTAATGCTTGGCGCGCCCCGGCGCCCGGGCCCACCCGTGTGAGGGATCGTCTCCGCTTCCGCGGTTAAAAATCAGAGAAGCCAAGTCGCTTCCTAGCCCCGGCGGCTGCCGAAGGGAAATGACAGAGCGGCCATCGCTCCCGCTATTGAAATCCCAAGACTTGAAGGCAGTCGTGAGATTTCTGCGTGCCGGCTTTTGGCAGCCTGTTGATCGCCAGTGTAATCGCTCCCCCCATGCTGCTTGCACGTTCCTGCTCCCTTTTGTGTGTATTTCTCCGAATATAATGAATCCAGCGAAAGAAAGAGCAATAACAAGATAACAAAGGCAATCAGCAGAAAGTGGCAGCTGAATGCGGCTCCATTGGAAGTGAAAGCGGGGAGTGGGGGAGGCAGGAGGGAAGAAAGTATCAAAGTTTTTAGGCAGCTCTTAAGTGGTTGCCTGTTCTCTCCTCCTTTTAACAGTTAACGTGGCTTTCCAGCTTGGAGGGGAGCCAGGAGGCTGGTTCTCTGGATGCCTTGAATGCAGCAAAATTGGTTGGGAAAGAAAGTGTATTTTGAAGTTCCCAGGGAGGGAAGTAGCAGGAGCTAGAGAGTGCTGCAGCTGGCCGGCCCCGCCAACATGGGCGAGGGGAGGTAGATTGAAGTCAGGCAGCGCCGCACCTTGGGGACTAACTTGTTCTCGGGTCCTCTCGGGCCTTTTTATCATCACGAGCGGCAGGAAACAGGCTGGAAGGGGCTTGAACCTCAAGCTTCAGAGCTTGAGCCGGCACCGGGGGCCAGGACAAGACCGTCAGCAGGGGGTGGAGGAGCCGGGCGCGAGAGCGGACCCCAGGTTTGATGCTGCTCGTCAGGCAGGAGATGCTTTGACTCCGCAGGGAGCGTGCACGCAGGCCTGGCTGGTGCAGTCGTCCCCGCAGCGGCCCTTGCAGCCCCGCGCACGGTGCAGAAACCTCAGCTTCCCTCGCCACGCCGGCTTGGGACCACGACCTCCTCAAAAGCGACGTCCCAGAACGCCTTAGAGAAGCACCCAGCTTGTAGTTAAAGAGCTTGCAATGTCTCGCGGTTTTTGGGGGGCGAGGCACGGCCCGGCTCGGGGCGGGGGGTAGAGGAGGGTCCCCGCAGACGCCTCTCTTGGTGCAACGCGGCGGGGAGCTGAGCGGGGCCCGGCGGCCGGTAGCTTGGCTCTGACGTGGGTCTCTTCTCCTCTCCCTTTGCAGACGATTCCCTGTACGAGTCCCCGGAGCCCATCTTCACAAGCAATAACTCCTGCTGCAGCCTCAGGGTCCCGCACGCCATCCTGGTGGTGGTGCCGGTGTTCTGGACTATCCTCACCTCCTAGCCCCACGCGGAGCCAAACCGAGGGAGGGGAGCCGCCTCGCAGCACAGCCGGGAAAGGAGGAGACGGACGGACGGACGGGCGGACATGGGGGAAGAGGCGACGTGCTGGCGCCGGTGCTGGGGGGCAAGGTCCCGCTCAGTCCAGCCTTCGGCTTTTACTTTCCAAGTTTCCCTTTGCCAGTGACCTTGGACCGGGGGCTCCAGCTGCTCGGATGCTGGGGGAAGAGGGGACCCCTCCCCTGACCGGGACTGATTTGGGGAGAAGACTGCCAAGATCCCCCCTGCCCTGGCGCCCCTCTTTGGGAGCCGCTAACCCCGGGCAGGACTGCGGCAGGGCGGGCGCAGCGCTGGCTCTGGACGGACCCGTGGCTCGGCCTCCCCCACGGGCATTCGCTTTTTAAATTTCTAGACCAAATATTCAAGTCCTTTTGGGTTTTTTATGTCATTCCCAGGGCCTCGGGGCATCAGCCCTGTTCCGGGCACAACACGAGAGCCCTCCCCGCCCCAGCCACGCTCCTTCCCCAGGCGCCGCGGGAAGGCCGGAGGATCCCCCTCTCTCGGTTCCTCCCCGGCGCTCGGACGGACCCGATCCCTGGCCCGGGGCAGCCGTCGGGAAGCGGACACGGCTCCGGGACGCAGCGGTACCCACAGCCAATGGAGCCCTTCCCGGGCCAGCCTGGGCTTTTGCC